TGGCATCTCTGCAAAAGGCAACTTCGCAAAAGCCAAGCACCCGTTTTTGAGATGCCACATTTGACCACTTGCAGGTTGGGCATGCTCAGCCACCTAAGCAGTTGGTTTCATCTCAGTTCAAAAAAGACTTGAATAGACACTTTTTTCCCGTCCGTCCGGATGAAGTTAGGCTTACCCGATCTACTTATGAACATGAACTCTTGACTACCACCTTCTCCCTGCTGGGCATTCCCACCTCTGCCGCTGCACGCGCTTCAGAAACCTCGCGCTCAGCGCCGCGCCGCGCCGCCCGATAATTTTCCCACGTTTCCCGATTCTGGGCGATTCTGGGAGAAAAAAACCTTCCAAAAGACATGCTGACATCCCCCGGCAGCTGGTTCGAAATCCACCATCCCAAGCCAAAAACCGTGAGATTCGATATGCTTTCTCATCCACTACTGAAGCCCCCCCCAAAAAAAGAAAAACAAAAGAAACAGCACATGCAGTCCGTGCTCATGATTCTGTGCTCCCCCTGCTGTCGGGTCTGGCCATGTGATTGCGCCCACCTGGCAGATCGAACTCCGTCCACCGGTTTACGTTCACGACGACCAGTGGGGGGTGAGAGAGATCCACAACTGGTCAAGCGAAAGGATTCAAGAGAAAAGGATCCACCTTCACAGAAAGGGAGCACTTGTAATAGATCACCTCTGTTTTTGCAGTCAAATTTGGTGGATCATTCAATCATTCCTTTGGATCTCAAAAGGAATTGTCCGAAGGATTGTTTTCATCGCGGGCAATCTGGGTGCAAGAGGTGGTCTTAGATGGGAATCTGCAGATCTGTATCTTCTGTATATAGTTGTTCTGTCTCTCTATTTCTTTATCTTGGACTGGATATGTATACATATAGAATCCTCCTGGAAGTGTCCCAAACCGCCCCAAACTATCCTAAATCTCTTGTACTAGTGCGGAGGATGGACCCCCGCACAGAATGGGGGTGAGATATTCTTGGATGAGTCTTGCCCCTTCCGCAATGGAGGACCCCTGCCACCGGTTCCGGGACATCCCAACCAGTATCAACCAGTCCGAACATCGACGAAATCGGATCAAAACGATGCCCTCAACTCATGAATCTAATCCGGCAATTCGCTCCCTAACGTCCTGGCAGTCTGCGGGCAGTCTGGCAGGCAAGTCCCTGCCCCCCCCCCATCGTATCCCATCGTTCCATTCCTTCTTGGGGCCCCCCGGCAACTGCTCCAACAGGAGAGACTCCTCCGGATGTTCGCCCTGGCAGCACGGACGAGCTCGACTCGACGCGGTAGGTCGGCCAGGTCGGTAGGTCTGAAAGCACCTTCTGCCCATCCGAGGTGCATGAACTGCTGGTTTCAACCGAAGAAGGGGGCGTTTCAACTTGTTCCCCTGTTCAACTCGATCCAGAGATCGATCCGATCGAGACGTCAGAGGGGGAAGAACGGTGCCTCCGGCCCTCCAAAATGGGATGCTGTTCTATGAGAATCAAGACCCCTTCGAAGCTTCCATACCCAGTACGCACCAGGCATCTCTTGGTCCTTTTCGACGAGGAACTCGACATCTCTTGAACCACCCACCCACCACTACAAGCCCTCTTCCACCCAAAAAGGAACAGACTCCCCCCCCCCCCCCCCCCCCCAACCCCCAGACCCCCAGCCCCCCCTCTCCGTCTCACCCCGGACTTCACCCATGCCGCCCCCCACCATGGCGCGGAGGATTTCCATGCCCTTGGGCGCATCCAACGCCGCGGACGCCTGATCCGATGGCCGACACAACGCCGACACCGTGGGCCGAAGCGGCCGACACCGCGGGCGGTGTCGTAATTCCCAGATCAAAGGATCCGGGGGGGAGCCCCTGGTAGCTTCTTGTTCCTAGTAGTACGGCCAGGAGCTACTAGTAGCGTCCTTGCTCCGTTCGTAGCGATGCCCGGAGCCCCGTTCGTAGCTTCTTGCTCATCCCAAGAGAACTGACGGGCTTTGCGGTAGTCAAGCATTTCAAGAGGCGGGTGGAGACACTCGAACTCTGGGGCGTAGCCAACCATGAGTTAGAACCCACTAACCCTAGCTAGGCCTGTTGTCTTAAGGCTTCCTCGTCACAGAAAAAGACCTAAGTGGATCTGGTGAAGAACTGACTGCCTGGTGATCCGCGCGCCAAGACGAAGCGTGTGTGCACCTTGACGAACGCCTCCAAGAGCTCAAGGCTTGTGCCTGGCGTCCGAGGTCGAGGCCCACGGAATAAGGGCCGGGGTCAAATGCAGGAAGTGTCCCTCCTTAGTTACACCCCTGGTCACGAATTTGATGCCAACTGGCTGGAAGACTGCCCAACACTTCTGAAAAAGCACCTGCAATTCGAGTCCCCCCCGCTTTGCCCCGGAAAAAAGCGGAGAGAACAGGATGAGGCCTGACACCACCGGCCGAAAGACCAAGCTGCACTCTTCTGGAACACCATGCTGGAGAAAGGCTCGGACTCGACCCTCCGATCCCTGCAGTGCTCGAGGCTCGAGGACAGACCCGCATCGTTCCGTCAGCGGTTCGGTGCGGAACGTGCCGCAGCAGCCGTTCTACATGCGTCAGGCCTGGGCCTTGCCAGGAGGAGACGGCTGCATGGTACAGCTCCTCAGTTGCAAAAGCGCGAAACTGAAGGAAGGCCTGAACCCGGCTTCCCATCCACGACTCCCCAGGAACGAAGACGTGGTCGCACCTCTTCGTGTTCCAAGGACAGCTTGAACAGAGGAACCACCCAGCACCACCCTGAATAGAGGGTGAAACCCCCCTGACGATGCTTTGGTTCCATCCAAGAAACACCCAACATGGGTGATGCTGGCAAATGGATTCACTTCCAAACTTCAATGTCTATCAACTAGAGACTGGGGAGGTCCATCCAGGAAGGGCATAGGGCTCCAGGCTTCTTGACGCCGCCTTCGGAGGTTTCCGCACGAAATCGTCTGTTGCTTCTCACACCACCTGGACCTTCCATCCCCGGTGGGTCGACGCCAGAACCCCACGGTCCGGTGGTATCGGGTGGGGTGGAATGGTGGGGCCCTTCTTGGGAAAAAAGAGGAACAGCAAGCCTACCCCACTAGAAGGGTCAGGTCTCTCAACCTCTCTTGGACCTGCAGCTTGTTGGAGCTCCTCTTTCAGGTGAAGAAGAAAGGAGCTTTGATTCATCGAGCTTTCATTCCGGACTCAACCTGGTGAATGTTGGGCAGGGCAGTTCTAGTCCAACGGCGCGCGTTTGGCGCTGCATGCAGTGGGGCTGGGAGAATGCTTTCCTCGTTTTCCTTATGGCCTCTGGGAGGGGATTCCTTCGCTTTCGCCGCCAGCACCTACACTCGCTCCCTGGAAGGTCCTCAACTCGTTCGGAAGACGAGGAAATCCTCCATCCAAACAGGGGAGTCCGAGTTAACTCCACATGTCACTTCCAGAGGGATTTCAGAGTCACCGCTGTCACCTCCAATCCCCCCCAACAATGCGGTCCTCGCCTTCACCACACGGACGGTCGGCCTTTTTCGACCTTGAGACCTCTCGCACCGGGCGCCCGGACTTCACCGCCATCGCACCTGGTGGCCGCGGAGCTTCGCACGTGTGCAACGGCAACGAGGAGCAAGGAACGAACCAGGGCCTGCTTGGGGTGGTTGGTGGACATCCTAACCTCGAAAACCTCTCAGGATCTTAGCCACCCCTGGCCAGCAACCCCTGGCTCTTGAAGGACTGACTCGTTTGACCAGAAGAAAACACTGGAAAACGAACAACACGGTCAAACCAATTCTTGACGGGGTTCATGGGGTTACTGAATAGTGAAAGTATCAAAGTCCAAAACATGACAACCCCAACATCAAACCAGAATTCAAATCCATCAACCGATGCCCCCGAAAATCAAACCGAAACAAACCCAAAAAAGAATTCCCCTCCCCAAAAAATAAGAAACCTAAAAGGAAAAACTCTTCCGCCACCACCCACCACCTCATGCTACCACGGCGTTCACGCTTCCTTCGCCGAACTCAGAACTCGGCCACCGGGCTCGGCAGCGACGCGCAGCGCGCAGGCCGTGAGGCCCGGCGCCACCGCACGCGTACCGGGCCCACCTCGGGAAGCCGGGACAAAACGATCAGACGCACCGGGGAGGCAAGCCCGAACACGCCCCAAAGGACGAACTAACCCCTTTCTTTGACCTCTTGGTTTGATATGAAACTAGACGACAGGGTGGCCCGAAAGCAAGTAGGCGGAAGAGAACAAATAGAAGGGAAGAAAAGCGAAGTAACAGAAGATGAATGAGCACTAAAGAAATGAAGAGATGATATATGATGATTCAAAACATTAAGATGAAACAAAATGAGATGATGATGAGATGACACAATATATAATATATATATATATCTATATATATATATACATTATGATTATGATACTATTATCACGTTATTACCAAATCTATTAATGTATATTCTGTTGCACTGTACTTCGGAGCCCAAACGGTAGTCCCGGTCGATTCTTTTTTATCCAGCGCCGGTCGAGCTCAAACGCTAGTCCCGGTAGTAAGAGCCGCCGAAGTGTGCGAAATCGCACGTCCCAACCTGGCATCAGGACAACCAATGCTCATACAAATGCAACACTTGAAAAACAAAACAAATTACCCACAGTTCAACTCATGTTGTTTTGTCGGTTATCAGATATAGTTGCACACCCAGTCGGAACAGGATCGACTTCGAACAACTCTCGGTCGTGGATCTCGTGCCTTGTGGAGTCTCTGCACGTTCAGCTGGAACAAGGGTCGACTTCGGACAACTTCCGGTCGTGGACCCAGGTCCTTCTAATCAGTTTGGTCACGACACTTTGCAATAGCCAATTCACAGCTTTTCGCCGATACTTGTAACTTCGTGGCTGGTGACTATATGTGGCATCGACATGCCGGCCTCCTGGAATTCCATTGCGTGGTGTCCACTTTCATTTGGTCCCACTTGTTGCCGCTCAACCTGTTCAAAAGACTCAATGTCTCTGGAAACGAAACTGGTCTTTCAGGTCAAATCACAACAAGCAAAGAATATCATTCAAGTCCAACAATCGAACAAAAAAAAGATGTCTATAGAGCTCTGTTTGCACAATTTTATCGGTTATCAGGTATATTCGCGCACCCAGTCGGAACAGGATCGACTTCGAACAACTCTCGGTCGTGGATCCCGTTCCTCATGGGGTCTCTGCACATTCAGTCGGAACAAGGGCCGACTTCGAACAACTTCCGGTCGTGGACCCAGGTCCTTCTAGCCAGTTTGGCCACGAATTCACAGCTTTTTGTCGACACTTTGGTCACGACGTTTCAAATTCCCAACGCCAGGCATGCTTGTGATGCTCCAAGGATCGCAGTGCATACAAGACATATGCTCGTCGCTTCCACGGTCTCAGGCTTGGACGCTGCTGGAGCACACAGTCAATGGCATCCTCGACACTGAGATCCCACCAGATCACCAGCCAGGCGCAAAGCGCGGCGGTACTGCGATTGATGCCTCCAAAGCAATGAAACAAAGGCGTAAACCTGATGTCGTGGTTCCAGTAGTAGGAGGCCACATCCCAAAGAACATGCATCAAATCTTTCCAGAAAGCTAAACATTCACCGGCAGACTGACGATGCTTCGCCAGCTCTGTATTTGGGTCTTTGACTGTGGGATCCTCGATGAACCACCAGATATGAGCGACGCCACAACGTTCAAAATAGGTGGGCAAATCTGACGGCGCGCCGCGCACCTGGATCATGAGCTAACGATGAGGTCGATGACGATTGCAATGACGTAGCTGCTGGTAATGATGATGATGATGATGATGGTGCTGACGACGATGATGATGATCATGAGGATGATGATGATGATGTGGATGATAAGGATGACGATGATGATGATGATGATGCTGATGATGATGATGAAGGTGATGATGATGATGATGATAATGATGATGATGGTGCATGTCGCCAGGCACGGTTTACACCACACGTTGTTTACGCCAGACGAAGTAACCATGGAAAAGTTTACACCAGACAAAGCCGACAAAGGTTTACACCAGAGAAGAGTTTACACCAGACATCGATTACACCAGACACCGTCTATACACCAGACACGGTTTACACCAGACGTCGTTTACACCAGACAAGGCCAACAAAGGTTTACACCAGAAAGAGTTTACAGCAGAGACAGTTTACACCAGACAGCGTTTACACCGGACACCGTTTACACCAGACAAAAAGGTCTTACCGCAGACGAGGTTTACACCAGACAAAACCGACAAAGGTTTACACCAGAAAGAGTTTACAGCAGAGACAGTTTACACCAGACAGCGTTTACACCAGACACCGTATACACCAGACACGGTTTACACCAGACGTCGTTTACACCAGACAAAGCCAACAAAGGTTTACACCAGAAAAAGTTTACACCATAGACAGTTTACACCAGACAGCGTTTACACCAGACACCGTTTACACCAGACATGGTTTACACCAGACATGGTGGAAACCATTGCAGCAGCAATAATAAGGCGATTAGCAACAAAAGATTGCAAAACACCACGTAACTACGCACTGAACGATGACACAGGAACACCTTCGAGCCAGAACTATAAGGCGAATAGCAACCAAAGCGTGTAAAACACCATGTAACTACGCACCGAACGATGACACAGGAACACCTTCGAGCCAGAACTATAAGGCGATTAGCAACCAAAGATTGCAAAACACCATGTAACTGCGCACCGCAAGCACAGAGAATAGCCTCCCAAAACCGGATCTCGACGTCCAAGCTCCAAAAATTGCGATTTCGAAGCGTTTTTTAAAAGAGATTTATAAGAAAAATGAAAGCGGCAAAACTTGGAAAAAAGTACGTTGGAAACCATTGCAGTAGCAATTATAAGGCGATTAGCAACCAAAGCTTGCAAAACACCACGTAACTGCGCACCAAACGATGACACAGGAACACCTTCGAGCCAGAACTATAAGGCGATTAGCAACCAAAGCTTGCAAAACACAATGTAACTACGCTCCGAGCGATGACACAGGAACACCTTCGAGCCAGAATTACAATGGGGGAACGCTCCGGGCACAGACCATGGAATCGCATTTCCCAACGAGTATGAAGTCTGCAGCGCACATTCGCGACATCCTTGCGACCAGAATTACAATGGGGGAACGATCCGGGCACAGACCATGAAATCGCATTTCCCAACGAGTATGAAGTCCACAGCACACATTGGAGACATCGTTGTGACCAGAATTACAATGGGGAAACGATCCGAGCACAAACCATGAAATCGCGGTTCCCAACGAGTATGACGTCCAGAGCGCGCATTGTAGAAAGTTCAGAGGTGACATTCACGACATCATTGCGACCAGAACTATAATGGGGGAACGATCCGGGCACAGACCGGGCACAGACCTTGGAATCGCATTTCCCAATGAGTATGCGGTCCGGACCGCACATTGGCGACATCCTTGTGACCAGAATTATAATGGTGCGCCCAGCCGCGCTCAGACAAAATGTACGTTTCACCACACGTTCGTGCACTCGACACGCACGATCTCCGCAGAGGGTTGCTCGAGGGCAAACCTTGAAACCAGAATTACAATGGGGAAACGCAAAATCGACAAAACCTTGTCACCAGAATTATAATGGCGGAACGCACCGCGCACACCAAAAATGTACGTTTCACCACACGTTCGCGCGATCGACACGCACGATCTCCGCAGAGGGTTGCTCACGGACAAACGCGATTCGCGTCTCACCACACGCGCGCGCGATCGATGGCCACGATTCCACGAGAGGGTTGCGTTTCGTAAGACCTGCTCGCACCGCCCCGCCGCCTAAAGAGAAGAATAAAGAAGAAGTTGGGTAGGTGAAGTTGGGTAGGTGTCTTAAGGAAGATGTCTACACCTACCTATCTTCACCTACCTATCTTCACCTACCTATCTACACCTACCTACCTACACCTACCTGTCTATACCCACTTATCAATACCTACCTATCAATATCTACTTCTGATGTACTTTGATATTGTTGATCTGATACTTCTACTTCATATGTTATGTTGTGATGTGATATTATTTTATCACATGATATGAGATGATATGATCTGACATTGATGTGATGTGATATGATATTAAAACATGATATGATATGATATGTTATGACATTGATGTGATGTGATATGATATTGATATTATAACCTGATATGATATAATATGATATGATATGAGATTAATAACCTATGAGGTGATGATTAGATGATGATGTTGTGAGGGTGAAGTAGGAGAAAGTTAGTAAAGAATATGAAGTAAGGAAGGTGAAGTAGGATAAAGAGAGTCAGGAAGAGAGAGTGGGGAAGATGAAGTAAGAGAAAGAGAGTAAGGAAGAGAGAGTGGGGAAGATGAAGTAAGAGAAAGAGATTAAGGAAGATGAAATAGGCAGCAGTGCTTAAGGAAAAACCCTTCGCAGGTGCTTTCGGGAAAAACCATAAGATTCTAGGTGTGTATATATATATATGTGAAAACGCGGCAGCGAACGAAAGACGCCGCACCTTTTCCTGCTGTCAGGATCAGTTGACCTCTCGGACTTCTCCGTAAGGTGTATGAAGGTGCGCTTGACCTGCCAGGCTGTGTGACATACTTATTCCGAACATAAAGGTTAACATAGGTAGGCCGCTGCCATGCACCGGGTGGTCCTTTGACAGGAGCAGCTTCTCCCCCGGGTATAGAAAGGTCTGTGACGTCAAGACGAGACGGAGTCTCCGAGAGTTGCCTCTATGATGTTCGACCAGGCAGACAGGCAGCGGGCCGTTCCACATATCGTGCGGTTCCATGGCTGCAAGAAACGCTGCAGTGGAAGCTTTGGCACCATTATCGCCTACTGAGAAGTACCCTTCGACCCATGCTCCTGCTGATCCCCTGTTGCTGGTGTGCAGTGTACACACACCATGCAGGAGGGCCGCTAATACCTGAGAGGCACCAGGAATACCATGCATGTTGAACTCTGCGGGGCTGCGTGGGCTCTGTGGCTGGGCTCTGTGGCTCGCAGACAGAGACAGAGACAGACAGAGACAGAGACAGAGA